CCACCTGGCACTTTTGGGCCTGTCCTCAGCCAAGGCACAGATGCCCCTTGCTGAGGACCTGGGAGGAATCCTCTCCATGGGGAGCCCCAATCAGATGTGTCTTGGCTGCAGGGCCCAGGCAGCTGGCCAGCAAGGGCCGGAAATGCTCCAAACACTCTCCCTCTTCCAATAGCTAAGGGGAGGGAGGGGCCCCTCAGAGAGGCCATTTTATGGGGATAGCCAGGCTAAGTCCTGTGCTGTGGGGGTGTGGGAGATGGTGGAGAAGAAAGTACTGAGGGATGAACTGAGAAAGCATCCTTCTACATGAATGGGCTTGCTAAAATCCGGTAGCCTGAGAGCTTGCCTTGTCCTGAATCCCAGGCAGATGTGTAAGGAGTTCCTTTGCTGGGACACGAAGCTGTGTTTTTGGCAACAGTGATATCTGAACCTGACCTTCAGAAGAAGTTAAAAATAGTGTTGTCCTGGCAAAGCCAGTCTGTGTGTGTGTGTGTGTGTGTGTGTGTGTGTGTGTATGTGTATGCATGCACGCACTCGCACATATACATGAGCAAGCTTCTTAAGAGGTAGGGGCAAATAATGCTCCCATCTGGTATTTCTTGGAGGCAGTGGTGGTAGACCAAGGGGAGAGGGCTTTGTTTATGTCAAGTGAAACAGCCTCTCACCTGCTTTCCTGTTATTTGCAGAAAACCAGCTCAGGAGTTGCAAGCTGGAAAACAACTTTTGTAGTAGTGAGTTCGGGAAAAGATGTAGGGGTTGTTTTGACTTTTTTGTCCTGAACTATGATCAGAGTTCCTGTCACCTTTCATTATCTTTCTTGAGCTTCAACCACATGCTGGGGGAAGAAGGCCTATTCTTTTGTAGCTGACCTCCTGGAATGAGGCCCACTGTGTTGCCAGATAGTGGGCATCTCCCTTTGGTAATTAAAATGAGCACAACATTTAGCTTTTGTTTGTAAAGCACATTACTGTGCTGACAGTAAGTATTGGTTCTTTATCATTTCAGTCAGGAATGAGGTCTTGCTGTTGTCCCAGTTAATGGATGAGGAAACTCAAAGATGCTCTGTGTCTGAGTCAGTTACTGGCAGAACATGGACCCCATCCCAGGGGATCCTCAGTGTGAGGGATACCTCTCAGGTCCCCCCTTTTTTCACACCCCCCCTTTCCTTCAAGTAGGAAGCCTTGCACTAGTGAGCTGGAGGAGTAGCCTGACTTCTCTGTTCTCAGCCACCTGCACATTTTCTTAAAGTCACAGCTCCCCCATTAGCTCTGTGCTGGTCCAGTCCAACATCGGCGCTAAGCCAGGTATTCGGAGCCGAGAGAGCAGGTGCACATAAGCAGCGAGACAGAAGAGGAGGGCTGGGTGTCCTCAAAGCTGGTAGCAGGGGGTGAAGGAGGGAGAGCAACTCGCTGCGGGGCTACATGGCACCCACTAGAATTCTGTCCCCCTCAGGGAAATCCTCATGGGCCTGTAAATCTTGTGCCCTTCCCTGTCATACATGGAGGGGTGGGGGTGACCTGCACCTGGATGTCAGGGACACAGTGCTGAGCGCTGGCTGAAGGGAGCCCTTTGAGAGGCTCTTGGACACAAGTTTCAGATCCCACCCTGGTGTGTGTTCCCCTCACCCTTAAACACGCTGAACAAAGCAGGTCTTGGACCTGGGTTCCTGGCTCCGGCGCCTCTCCCTCCCAGTCCCCCATTGTCCTTTTGATCTCCCAGAGGTAACTAACTGCCGGGCAGAGCAGGTGCAGGGCTGGGGCGTGGGTGAGGTGAGCCCTGGAATGGGATCCCAGAGCTGTGTGCTGTTTTTCCCCCTTGCACATGTCATGGCCTGCCCACAAGGACAGCAAAGAAGAGGAGCTGGACTGGTCCCTTACCGGCCCAGCCTAGAGAGGAAGAGAGCAAACATTCTAAGAGACCTTGAGAGTGCCCCACCACCTCCCAGTTGTTGCGGGAGTAAGCATGCAGGGTGCCCCTGAGCTGTTGGGGCCCTGGGTTCAAATCCTGGCTCTGCTATCCTACCTGTGTAACCTTGAGCAGGTTACTTAAGCTCTCTCTGCTTCAGTTTTCTTTCTAGAAAGTGGACATGATTAGTGCCTACAGATGGGATTTTAGTGAGGACAAAATGAGGTAATGATGTCAAGTGTCTTAACGCAGGCTGGCCAATCGTAGGTGCTCAGTAAACATGACCAAGGCCCAGAAAGACTCAGTGGCTGACCTTGGCGCTCAGCTCCTTCAGAGCCCACCCTTCTCTTCTCACACGCTGGCACCTTCTCTGCGTTGACCTCTTCTGGGCTGTTGCAAACCGGTGAAGACTTCTACAGGTCCTGGCTCTCTAGGGGTAACAGGCCCTGAGGCCCCTGGATGCGTTCACTCGGCCAAAGTTATTGAGCGCCTGCTACACGGAGAGCTGGAGGCTGATGAATGTGCCAGGCTGAGGCCATCGCAGGCCCCACCAGGGGGCCTATGACGCTGGGGGCCACGTTTGGGGGGAGGCTGAAGAGGCCCTGGTGGATTCTCCGTGACAGTGTTAGTACAGATAAGGAGTACAGACAGCGGGAGAAGGATTGAAGAAAGTGGGGCCCCAGTGGGAGAAAGGATAATGACCTTGCTGTGACGGGCCTGGGGTATCCTTCCCAGGCGCCTCAGCTCTTGCTTTGCTCTGAGTGCCTGACCCCAAGGTTAAGGCATTTGTGGTCTCTGAGGCCCAGGGTCTGCCTTGTTGCATTGTGTTTTTGAGAAGACCCTCATCCCCTGCAGAGCCCAAACCAAGCTGAGTGGCCCCCAGCGTCACCCCACCAACTCCCTGCCCAAGACCGAAGCCCTTCTGCTGTTGGGCCTCCTGCAGTGGTCACCAGTGAGGCCTTTCTATGGCCCAGCCTGCTGCCCCTTTCACCTCCTCGCCTCCCAGGATTACTCAGCCTTCACAGCATCTGTCACTAAGACGCTGAGTGCGTTCTTGATGGCCTCTCTTCAGGAAAGGCTCGGGTTTGTGTGGCCTTTTAAGAAAGGCTCATTTGCCCGGGTAAGCCTCTGATTGTGGTTCTGCGTGAAGAAACCATAAACCAAAGAAAGAGCGATGGTTCAGCTTTGGTCTTGGAGCTTTGTGTCAGAGTCTGCTTGAATCCCTGGATTGCAATTGAATGTGGGTCATACAAGCAGGCGGAGAAGCCGTCTTTTCCCCCTGGTTTCTGCATAGATTGTTTTGAATAGGAAAAATCAGAGGAACCTCTCATTCTTTTAAGTGCTGGGCTCTGCACTAAAGTTTGTCTCCCTGATATAGGGGCCTTGCAGCAAGGTCCCCAATGTATTTTATTTTTTCCTGACAAAAATCCCAAGTCCCTGGAAGTGTTGGTTCTTCCAGGGCCAAGAACTCAACAGTGATATCCAGGCTTTTAGAGTAATTGCTGGGGAGGAGGCCTGATCATTTTCCAAAAGGTTTCCTACAAATTTCAAGGGATCTGGTCTAACCCAGGGAGAGGAGAGAGTGAGAGCTTTAGGGGACCCACTGGCTGACTAGGAACACCCTCCGGGCACCTGCAGGAATCCCTCTGCCTTTTAGTAGAAGCTGGTGGCCCTGGGGTCATGCTTATTGCCACCGGACTGACTGACTCTTAAGCAGCCATTTCCCTCTTCTTGGTCCTGGGGAGAAGAGTATGGTTTTCTCCCCTCCTCTCCAGGGGGCACAGGCAGCGAAATAACTGGTGTTAAATGGTTTTTCCAGCACCGTGTCTACAAGGGCTTCCTTGGCAGTGTGGTACGTGCTGTGAGGACTTGGTGGGCGGAGCTCCTGGGTGACCCCCACCGTGTTGCCTTCCCCTTCCCTTCTTACAGGGAGCAATGTAGGGCAAGTTGTCTTAAGTGCCATTCTGTTTGCCTTTTTCCTCCATAAAGATACTGGCATTTCCAGCATTTATTTTCCTGCGCAGTGTGCTTTAAAGTGGAGAGAGGTAGGTTTAATCCTCAGGCCTAACTTTCACACAAGCCTGGGGAGGGAGACCTGTGGCTCAGGACCATTCTGGCAGTGGTTGTGTGGCGCCACCTCCTGGCCAGAGGACCCCTGGTGTCTTCCAGCTTTTGCTCTCAACAGTTGCCAGAACAGTTTGTGTAAAAACCAAAAGGAACTTGAAGAAGATGCTATACTCTGAAGTCATTTCTGGTTCATCCTTTTATGCCCATAGCTTTTTGTATCAGCTTGGCCTTTCTAGTGCTACCTTGCCAAGCCTTCTTTTAAGATAGCTTTGTATTTCCAAGGCCCGAATTTATCAAGGCAGGACTAAGCAGCTGCAGTCTGGAGTTGGAGACATCAGGCTAGAACCCAGCATTGGATGCATATGTCCCAACAGGTCAACTTGCCTGTGGTTTGAAATTAGGGGAGGGGAGTGTGAAGGGAAGTGTCTAGAGTGTGGGAGGAAACAAAGGTATGAACAAAGTATTGGCTTTTTCCTTGGGGCCGCGGCTGTCCTGTCCCGTAGTCTGCCGGGTCTGGTCTGGGCTCAGTTCTGCCCCCACTGACCCAGCATCTAAGGACGCGGCCCTGGGCAGAGCTGCAGCTCCACTGACTCGAAGGGAAGGGCTCTGGGTTGCTCTGCGGTTTAGAGTGGGCAGCCTGTGGGAACAGCTGTTAGTCAGGGAGGCTGTGTGTCTTTGTGAATTAACTTCGAAGGTACTCCCAGTGCGCTGCTGCCAGAATAGGGGGACACCTGGTTTCTGTACTTAGTGCCATCTTTGAGTGCCCACCCTCCGTAAAATGAGGAGCAAACTTTCTGCAGCTCATTTCTCAAACCAGGAAGTGGGGGTTCCTGCTCTTTTTGCTGTGAAGAAAAGATGTTGGAGTAAACATGGACAGTTCCCTGTTGACTGTAGTTGGTCGTTGGCCAAGCACATACTGTGCCCTGGTGGAGCTTACAGACTAGAGGGCGCACAGCTCCAGCGTTGCAGGGGGAAGTACCTCTGGATAGAGATGCTCTGTAATTAACGCTTTGTCATTCCTCCCGCTCTAGGCCTGGTCTCCAAGACCTCTCTTAAAAAGCCTCGTGGACGTAACATCTTCAAGGCCCTTTTCTGCTGTTTCCACACCCAGAATGTTGGCCAGTCTAACCCCTCCACTGAGCTCTCCGCGTACAAGGAGGAAGCCAACACCATTGCTAAGGTAGCTGGGTCGGGTGGCGTGACTGTGCGGGCTGCTAGTGGAGCCCACGCACCCACAGCACCTGGGCAAGCAGCCTTGCCTGAGGTCACCAAGATCTTCGGCTCAGAAGAGACCCTTCCTCTGATGGGACCCGTAGTTGGTTCACTTTCTTTCTCTTACTTCCCATTTGTGGAATGGGCCACCCAGATGTCCCTGTCATTTCTGAGCCCAGATCCTTCTAGGTTCCAGAAACCATGCGAGATGCTTTCCATGTGATCCATGTAGCAGCCCTACAAGGAGACTCGGAGCTCCCCACTCACAGACGAGTGGGGACTGAGTCCCTAAAGAGTGCTCGTGTCCGAGTTCCGGCTCAGATCACTCTGGCTGTAGATGCTGTGTCTTTTGTTTACTATGCAAAGCTGCCTGCTGAGTTACTTGATTTTCGGGACCCAAAGAAATGAAATTCTTACACATTCTTGGTAACTCCTTCCAGCACTCTCCGCTGTACCTGTGAGAGACATTTAGGAACATGTGGGTGTTTTCGATCCTCACATGGCCAATAAATATGTCTAGAATTTCAAGGGTAGGGACAGCCCTGACCAAAAATCCTTGTGCCCCCAGTGTCGTTGGTACTTCTCTCTGAAATACCAAGGTCTGACTGTCCTTCCTCTCTCAGAACCAGGCTGATGATGTGTGCGTCAGTGACAGTCACTCCGTTGCCCAGCAGTGCGACATGACAGTGTCGTTAAGCCATTGACTTTTACAGAGTTCATAATAAATGAGAAAGTATTGAGCTGAAAAGCAGAACGCTAAATTATGGGGGGGAAATGCTAAAACAAGCTTGAAGGAAATACATTGACGTGCCAATTTAAGTGTTTTTAAGTGCTAGGATTTTAATTTTTCTTCAAGGTTTCCACACACTACTTTTTACAACCATAACATTTTTATTTCTACAAAAGGTGGGGAAGCCATTCTGACCGCTCACACTCCACCTCCCTGCCCATTTGGGGGTCCGCATTGGCCTGCTCCTGTTCTGCAGGGGCTCAGTCGCCCTCTCCCCACAAGCCTCCCCCAAGCAGGGCATAGAAAATACATGTTGTGAAGGAGAAGCCCGGGTTCCAGGACTGAGCAAGAGGCTAACCCACCACAGTGAGGATTTGTGACTTTGGTTCTGCCTCTGACTCTGCGTCACTGCATCATTCTCGAGTGCAGCTGAGAGACAGTGGCAGCTAAGAGCAGGGACACAGTCCTCCACCCTTTGTCAGGGCTAATGTGAAAAGGAAGTTGTGGCTTTTTCTTTGTCACGGCTCTTAAGTCAATCTGGTCATGTTAGTGCCTTCCAGGGGGCTGGGATCTTGGGGAGAAAATTATCCTCCAGGCCTGAGGCAGAAGCAGGGGGGCTTTAGACCGGTTGGGGAAGGCGTTGGCAGGTTGGCACTGATCGCCCCCTTTCCTCCGCAGTCTGATCTGCTCCAGTGTCTCCAGTACCAGTTTTATCAGGTATGTGAGTCTGCCCAGGACACTCAGAAGCCCAAGACCTTATGGTCCCTGCTAACCTTGTGGGGTGGTGCCCTCATTCCTCTGTGTCTGGCTGGCCACCTCCATGTCCTGGGAGCCATTTGTTCCAGATATTTGCTGAGGGCCCATTATGTCCAAGACAGTGGATTGCGGGGGGGGGGGGGGGGCACTGGTGTCTACCCCACACAAGCCCTGGCCTCCATCTCCAACATCCAGGTCACTGTACAGTCCAGTGGGGGGCTAAAGCCATGGAGACAGCTTCTTTGTCTGCCTCCTGGCCTTCAAGGGGCATCTCTCCTAAGTGAAGTTGGGGGTCTTTTTTCTCCTCGGTGAGCTCAGCTCTCCCCCAAGTTCTGCTGAAGGGAACAACTGGGCTTTCTTGGTGGCAGATCTCAGCATCCTGGCTCTGGTTTCAGATCCCGGGGACCTGCCTGCTCCCAGAGGTGACAGAAGAAGATCAAGGAAGGATCTGCGTGGTCATTGACCTGGATGAAACCCTTGTGCATAGTTCTTTTAAGGTAACTTGACATCTGGAGCCCTTCTTCGCCCATCTCGGGCTGTCTTGTGAACCTGGCCAAGGGGGCCTGAAATTGGTGATAGAAGGGTGATCGGGTAGGGCAGGCCGGGCCTCTAGCATTCTGACCACACCGGCATCACAGATACAAAGACTACACCCACGAGTGTTGGGCAGGGCCTCCCGCTCCCCCCAGTCACTGCCTCCACTGCCCCACCAGTCACATAGCACAGAGTACCACCAGGGTTGTGTACAGCATGGCCCGAAAGGGTGGAATCAGCTGTGGACTTTGCCCCTCTCTGTGGTACCGAACATTTTGTTAACACAAGAAGGCCCTGAAACTCTCTCTGCTCTGGTGGAATTTCGGGGGAGGTTGGAAGTAGGAAAGACCAGAGGAGGTATTGTATCCTGTCCTGGGGTGAGAGCTGCCTAGTGGGACAGCAGGCGGAGCTTCCTGGAGCCTCAGATCTGTTCTCCCCACCCCTCCTGGGGGACAGTGCAGTGGCTGTTGTCTCCTCCTCACCCCACTGACCTCATTCACTTTTCTCTTTCCAGCCAATCAACAATGCCGACTTCATAGTGCCTGTAGAGATCGAGGGGACCACTCACCAGGTGCGCTGCCTGCCAGGCCACACCCAGCCCAGGGGCGCAGGGGCCTCCGTTCTTCTCAGGGCTTACGTTCCCTCACTTGGTCCCTTTCTGTGACTTCAGCCTCTACCTTTTTATTGGTGTTTTTACCACCCTTTCTCATCTTTAAAAGAAAAAAAAAAGAGCCCCTCATCCCCCACTAGCTGTCACCTTTTTTTCTCTTGGCAGCCACGCTGTTTGAAATGAAATGTTATGTTGTCAGCGTTGGTAGCTATCATTTATTGATTGTGCCACCCTTTCTCCCAGTGTGACCAGCACTGTTGTGTGACCGATTACATTTTCTCTCATTCCGAATAGTTGGTTCTCTGCCTGTTCTGGGCAAGGAGGGAAGTGCCAGCTGTTTTCTCTGCTCCCCGGGCCCAGCCTCACCATCCAGCAACGGACTTCAGTCCTTCCCCGCCAGGCCTCTCCTCTGTGGAGCTTTCTCCAGCTCCCCTCCCCTCGGGTCCCTACACTGTATTCTTTCCATATTAAGTGCTCAGTGCATGTGTCAAAGTAAAGAGCACTTGAATCTCAATAAGATCCTCTCTGGCCCTGCATACCCCGCTCAGGCCAGGGTTCAGTGGAAAACCACTTTACTGAGAACACTTGCCCACAAGGCCTGACGGCTGGCCTGGCAGGCCGGGCCCATCGGCAACAGTGCCCTGGTAGCCCTGATACTGGCTTGCATGGCCTGGTTATATACCAGTTACTTGTAGAGGAATGGGGTTTGAGGCTTCCGTGCGTTGTCGTCACTGTCCTGCGTCCGTTGGAGGCCATCTTCACCAGCACCCCCTCCAACCCCCCACAGAGGTAGTCTGCTAAGGCCAGAGGCAGCCCCTGCTCAGAGCCAGGCTTAGCCCTTGGACTCCCAGCCTCTGCCCAGCAGCCCTGTACAATCTAGTTGAGGATGGAGAGATGTGCAAAACCCACAGGGAAAAGATGAAGGCATGATTTCAAACAGGCAACTATTTGAACTGCTAGTTAAGAAGGAGAGGCATGAGTCATGACAAGTGAAGATGGCTACCTGCAGAAGGCAGGTTTTCAGCAGAGTGGTAAGGGCATGCTGAGCTTAATGAAGAGCCGGGAAGAGGGAAGAACTTGTTGAAAGTTGAAGAAATGGCAGAGGAAGCCAAGTTGTGGCTACCTGGAGCGGAGGATCCCTGCTGCGGAGCTGAGAGGGAGGGAGGGCCATGGCGGGGCCGCGCTTTGAGCAGGGAGCAGTGTAGGTGAAAGGGCCTTTCAAGGACTGGTGCTCCACGCCCTGTGGAGCCTGGGTGAGAGGGAAATAGCCCGGAGGCAGGGAAGCAGCAGCACGCAGGTTGTTGAGGGACGTGTAGCCAATGGATCTTTTAGGCCAAAATGTGCAAGGTCATGAAACGTGGACGTGTTAGGCTTGTCTGTCAGGAACAAGCACAGAATAGGTGGGGATGTTAGGGCAGGACATTGCAGAGCGCCTGGTCTGTGGTCATTGAGGGGAAAAGTCACTTCTCCCTGGTGCGTTTCAGAGAAGCTGTGTGAGGGCATGAGGTTTCAGGAAGTATCTTCAACCTCGCCCAGTGGTGACCTGGGCAGACTTTCCTGCCAGAGCCAAGGACAGGAGACTCCCACGGAGGCTGTGGCCGGGTTCAAGTAATCCAGGATAGGCTGTTTCCATCTGCGAGGCCTATTCTTGATTACTTGTTTCCGGAGGCAGCCGATGGTCCGCCGTCGGAAGCAGCGTTGGCTCCGGGACGTGGGTGCATGCACTTCTTCCCAAGCTGAGTCGAGGCTGGGACAGCCGAACCAGAAGAAGCCTGGTGAGGGGCCGATGCTAGTGTGCCGGTCTGTGGGGCAGAAGGCTTCCAGCCAGGGAGCACCAGAGGCTGCGGTGTGGGCATCTGAACAGAGTAAGGCCTGAATCGACTTGATGCCTTTTGTGTAAGTGATGACAGTGACCGATGCCGTGAGGCGTCACCCTCACCGGGCTGCCTCCAACAAGCCTCTCTGCTTTTCTTCAGGTATATGTGCTCAAGAGGCCTTACGTGGATGAGTTCCTGAGACGGATGGGGGAACTCTTTGAATGCGTTCTCTTCACTGCCAGCTTGGCCAAGGTACCTGGGACGGGAGGGGAGAGAAGAACTGGGAGCAGGTGCAGAGCTAAGGTGTGGTCCCACCAGGACCACATGCAAACAGAGGTGTCTTCTCCTCTCCCAGTATGCCGACCCCGTGACGGACCTGCTGGACAGGTGTGGGGTGTTCCGGGCTCGCCTGTTCCGTGAGTCCTGCGTGTTCCACCAGGGCTGCTACGTCAAGGACCTCAGCCGCCTGGGGAGGGACCTGAGAAAAACCCTCATCCTGGACAACTCGCCTGCTTCTTACATCTTCCACCCGGAGAATGCAGTGAGTGGCCCAGACCTGCTCAGTCTGCAGGGCCTGGGAGAGGTCCTGTCCTGTGTGGGAGAAGCAGTGGGCAGGGGGCCTTTGACTTCACCATAAAAGCACTCCTCCTCTGCCAGCTTCTGGGGGCTCTGGGGCAAGGGAAGAAAGAGTGGCATTTGGGAGATTGATGCAGCCTTTTTCCTGCCCCAGGTGCCTGTGCAGTCTTGGTTTGATGACATGGCAGACACCGAGTTGCTGAACCTGATCCCAATCTTCGAGGAGCTGAGCGGAGCGGAGGACGTCTACACCAGCCTCGGACAGCTGCGGGCCCCTTAGCGTTCCCAGCTTCCAAGCAACGGTCATCCCAGTAGAGGACTTGCCTACACTGTGCCTTTATGATCAGCCTGACAGATGGAGCGGAAGCCGGAGCATCTCACCAAAGGGGGCCTGGAAGTAGAAATGATGGGAAAGAACTTTAGGACAGGTTAGATGCCAAGTGGGCCAATGTCAGACCAGTGATACCCCAGCTGCCTACTCCCCGAGTTGGGTTTCCCAGGTCTGTTAGAGAGTATTGCCTTGAACCGTATTCAAGGATGCAAGTGTTTCAGGTGGGAGGGGAAAGCTGAAAGACCAAGACTCGCTCCAAGTGAGTTCGTCTCCTCTCCAGTCACCTGAGAGCCACTGCGCTCTATAGGGATGAAGACTCTTCCAGGCTCCATCGCCAAACCCATGGCCTGCCCTCAGTGTTGTAAGGCTTGTGCCAAGGAGAAAGGGAGGGTCAGAGGCTCCTTCTGGGTGCCCCAGGCACACTCCCTTCTTAAATCTTTCTCCAGCCAGCTGCTGCAGACAGACGGCAATTTTGGAAGAGGAAAGCTTGTTTCCAGAACCAGTAACCCCAGTGGCCATCGAGTCCTGCCGCCCACGGGCTGCACTTGCCCCCAGCCGAGTGTCTGGCCTGGGCCTTCCTTTGTCTCCCCAAGGCGTGGGTGCTGGGCCTGCCTTCTTCACTACCTAGCCATAATTCTCCGACCCGTGGGGGAGGAGGTCTCCCTGCCGTGGAAGAGGGCAGATAACTGAGTTCCGTTCTTTTGACTCTGTTTTAAAATTCCCTTCCTAAACATGGAGTGTTGGGCCTGTTTTGTTTCTGACGAAGCTGCAGTCCTGGGCTTGAGGTGAATGTGTGCGGTGCTGGGGGTGTGGGGAAGAGGGAGATCCCCGAAGCCATGAATGTGTGTGTCCCCTTAGCTTGTATGTGAATCAGCTGAGCTTGGGACTGTCCGTGAGTCCACTCTTCAGGGATTCTCTGCTGGTGCTGGTGCTGGTGCTGTTGTAAGGACTTTGTTCCAAAGTCCGGGAAGGGCGCTCCCTCTCTGCCCCTCCTATTTCTTGGGCAGAGCTCTTCCCTATCGTGTCTTCCCCCGGGGCCTGGCCTGTGCACAGCTCTCTGCTCCATCTCCATCCTTTCCGGCTGTCACTCTTTCTCTCCAGGGCCTCAGAGGCACTCCGGCTTTTCTGGGGAAGCGGGTGTCCTTAGCAGCACTTGGCAGGCTGCGCACAGGCCTCCTGCCTCTGGTAACAAGTGTGATGAGCCCTTTACACTCCTGCTCTTTGCGTGTCTCTTGCTTTCAAAGTTTCTTAATAATGAATGCTTTAAAAAGGGGTCACAGAATGGAAGTTTCCCCAGGACAGAAAACAGAAGGGGAAGTGCTGCTGCGATTCGGAGTACACGGGGCCCCCAAAAGGTGGCCCCACTTCAGCGTCACTGCCTTAATTGTGGCCTCTCCCAGGGCCGGGTGGAGTTCTCCCCTCCCTCCCTCCCTCCCTCCCTCCCTCCCTCCAGGGCAGGAGGGAGTTCCAGTCCCCATCTCCATTTTCCCTGGAGGCAGGTGTTGCAAAGCATTTGTATGTTGTTTCAGGTGTTGAGGACACCTCCCTCTCGGCCCTCGTATCCATTGTCTTTTCTAGTTTGCACATACTAGGTCCAGCCTGAGGAAGTAACCTGTTTGGAGAGCCAGGTGGGGGAGGCAGCTTGGTGTTCTGATTTGGTAGCCGGATGACTAGCGTTTTTCTCTGATGTTACGGTACCATCTATCTGCTTTGTCCAAGGTTGTAAGGCTTTTCTGTTTCCCTTTGGTGTCACAGAAATGGAACAGAGTCCCCAAAGCCCATGTGGTCATCCCCCCTCCTCATTCCCTGGTTCCCACGGGTGGTCCTACAGGTGGGGGAGGGCCCTGGTGCTAGCTCAGAAGGACGGCTCCTGCAGGAAATGGAGGCTTCTCCCTCAGGACCCACCCTTAAGGTTCATTTAGCTCTCGGGTCAAATCCGCCATCTGGACCCAGCCAGGCTTTCCTGACTAAGCAATAAGAGGCTCTAAGCTGGTCCAGCTCCAGGACCCTTTCTGCCCTCCTTTGGGTCTCCGTGTGCCTCCCGGTGAAGGAAGAACCTGTGCCAGCCCCTTTCCTGTCAGGCTTGTCCATGTGTGGCCTGTGACCAGAGCCCAGGGTACCCTGGGTGGAGTGTCCCTGCATCTTCTGCATGAAGCCCCTGCTCTACAGGCCTTGCTCCCCTCAGAACTCTGCCTGCCCACCTGCAGTTCCCCAGATACACCAGTTCCACTTCCCCAGAGAAGCAACAAGGCCAAATGCCCTACACTGGGTCCACTCGGGGGGGCCAGAGCCGGCCTCCTTTGCTTTCTGATTCCAGTCTCACTGCACGTCAGGGGCGAGTGAAGATCCTCCTGGGAGGGCTCAGGCGAGACTCAGTTGTGGAAGAGGGGACGATGGGGAGGGAGCCAGTCACCTCAGGATTTGGGGGGCAGTGGGCCACCATGCCTGGTCAGCACCAATTCAAGCCATGCCAGGAACCTGCCCACCCGCCAGGTTCAGTTCCTTAATGTGCCTCTTCAGGGACACGGTGTGTCTCTCTGATTGGGCTTCTAAATCAAAAGCCTGATGTTCCTGTCCCTCTCATAGGGGGAGCTTTGGACACAGGACCAGTTTGGAAAGGGTCAGATAAAGAGTTTTCACTCTGCACATTGTAGAGGGGACACTCTGTAGGCCTATGGTTCCCCAACCATACAGAGGTTGAATTAATTTGCCTTCAGTTAACCTGGGACCTTCTCCTTAGTTCCCTCCTGCCTCCCAAAGATTTTGACCATTTTGTAAGTGTACAAACTGACCTCTGTTAACAGTGGCCCAAAAGCTCCTTTGTGCTTAAAAAGCATGGGAAACCTAACGACATCCAGTCCCTGGGACATGGGTGCCATTCTGTTCTGCTGCCCCTGCCGTGTGCCTGAGGTCTCATTCAGTAGGGCGGCCCCCCTCGGAGGCTGCCCTGTGTCCCAGCCCGGTGAGCGTTGAGGAAGGTGAGCCTGTTTTCCCCTTCACGTCTGCAGTTGGTTCCTTCACCACTGTTGTACGTCAGTCACTTTGTAAAATGGGGTTTTAGTTCCCCCCCTTTTTTAACAGCAAATGTTTCTATTCAAGCAGGGGAGGGAAGGCAGAGGTCTGGCTTGCTGCCCCATTCCTTTCACGTGGGGCCTGCTCCTGAAGCAGACCCTCTCCCGACCCCGTGAGCTGCTCTGCTTGCAGTTACCCCAGTGTGACACCTTCCGTGTCAGTGACTGGCCCTTTCGAGAAGCCATTTGGAGGGTGGGGGTCTGCTTCCCACTGTGACTGGGCTGTGGGATTCTGACTACCTTGCTTACAGATTCATGGTTTGATAAATTTGTTATATTCATAAACTTGAAATGTGGGACGCCATTAAGTGTCTGTTTATATTTTTGGAGTATTTGTATTACTTACAATTAATAAAAGTGGGTTTAAAAAACCCATCCAGGAATGGGTGCTGCTGTTCATTGGGGCACGTACTGGACACAGCCTTCACCCCTCACAACCCTTTCTTTCACGATGGAGCTGGGAGACCAGCTGCGGACTCAGCACTGGGCTTCCACTCAAGGTTAAAGAAGTCGGGCTGCATTTGCTCTTCCCTGGCCCCCGGTGGAACCAACTCCATCCAGGTGCTTAATAAGCATATGCCTTGTGTCCTGTTGACATCTGAGGATGACCCAGGAGCCCCAGATGACTTGGAGCCTTCATTCTTCTGTGCCCCACACTGATGTTCCAAGCCAGGCTCCCCAGAACATAGAACCCAGGATGCTTCCTGGCACATAGTAGGCACTCAAATATTGATTGGATTGATGTCTGACCCAAAGGAGCAAAACAGGATGAAATAATAACATACTCCGGGCCCCTCTCCTAGACATCCCCCTCTGAGAAGTGCCCAGAAGCTTCTGGAGGTGCTTGCCAACCCGGACAGCCCGGGCCCTGGGCAAGCAGCTCCAGCCCCTGCCTCCTGTCAGCATAATGCATCTGTATCTACAATATGGCAAATTTCATATCCTCCCACCCTCTTTCCTGCATTATTGATGGGCTGTGCACTTTTTAAAAATCAATTAGATCAGGGCGTGGAGCTTAATTTTTTTTTTTTTTAAAAAGCCTTTGAAAGTCTGCTCTTGTTTTGTTCTTTTGAATAGGAACAGATAAAGCGTTCCCTCTGGTTTCCCTAAGTCAGGCCCAGGGCTTGACTGGCCATGATTGGCCAGGCCTAGGAAAATGTGGTTAAGATGCAAACCCAAGCAAATATAACCCAGTGTCTGTGCAGCCATTACTAAGCTCTGGCAGCAGACCTGGAGCCTCCCGCTTTGGAGTGGGTCTTCGGTGCCACTGCTGCTTACTTGCCAGCAAACTGGGAAGACGGTGGGAGAGAAGGCAAGGTAAGGTCTGCCTGGTTTATGGGTGCATGTCAGTAGCACTCTCCTACTGCACAAGGAGGAAGGGAGGAGATGGAGATTTCCCTGGCTTTGTCTTCTTGGATGAGGCTTTTAAGGAGTTGAACTAGGAGTCTGGCCAGTTTTGCAAATTTTCTGTTGGGATGCTACAGCCCTTTTTAGAGACCACTGAACAGATGGGGCATGTTTTTTAAAGCTGGGAATGAAGAAGACTCGTCAGAGATGATACGGGGCAAGGCAGAGGTTAAAACCAGCTTTCTGTTGGGATCCAATTGTACCGCTGTCTGTCTAAGACTTAATTACGGGCCATTGGCTTTCAACCTGGCACTTCAAAACTGCACCCCACCCCACGGGTTTCTACAGTGATCTTAAAGGGTGCCGAATTAATAACACCTTGTGGAGGAGGGTGACTAGTTTTAGGGAAATTTGCTGTCACTGGTGGGGTCACCTTTTCTAGGTGTTCCAGTGTGGCAGGAAGTCCCTTTGAGCGTGCCCTCTCCTGCATTTGGGGTAACCAGACCTTCCCAGTGGCTAAGTCCCTCCTAGCAAGTGAGACTGCTTTTCGCCCCTAAGACAGCCCTAATTAATGAGAGTTTGTTTAGCTTCTACCAGGTTCTCACTTCTCTATCGTCAAGGGATGAATTCATTGGCCCTTGTCCCCTTCGCCTAGTTTGGTAACAGCATTTGCCTTTAGTGACTGAAATCTAGGGTCTAAAGAAAACCTAAACAAATATTTCCTGGCGGTTCTGAGCACAGGGTGGGGCAAGTTATCAAATTAAATCCTCAAACAGTGGCTGTTCCGCCTCACTGTCCTGCTGTCCTTTCATAGCAGCAGACAAAGGGAGTTAGCTTTTGTGTTTTTGCCAAAGTCCACACTAAATAGCGCATAGTCTCCGAACCTGGCTTCATCCACCACGGCTCAAGGGATGAATGGGCAGACATGCACCTCGTAGCACACAGTCCTTTCTGGGTGGGTTTTCATCCAGGGAGAACCGTCAAACCCGCCCTTTAGCCTTGCCCCTTCGGAGCATTCCTGGGTCGTGTGTGTTGTTACCAGATGGTAAGCTCCTTGAGAGCAAGAACCAGTTATGCCCTTTAATTGTACAAAGCCTCTATGTGAACCTGGATACTCCTTCAACAGACATGGCGCAGGATCCGCATAGACCTCCCTTTACCACGTCCTCCCAGCAACCCAATGGCAGCCCTCTGGCCGCCGGCTCCTGGGGCCTGAGTGGGAGGGGACGGGAGAGCCTCGGTTCAGCAGGCCAGGCCCACCTCCCCCTGTGGGCACCTGCACTCGGTTCCAGGCCCAGCCCGGCCATTTTACTTTCCCTTTTCTTCTGTGAGATGCAGGAAATATATTAGTCATAAGACAAAAGCAGGATGGGTTTTCTGAGTTTTAGGGTAGTTTACTTAAACAAGTCTGGAAAGTAAAAGTCCAAAGAAAGATTGAAGACTGTGGAGAGGAGCTGGGAAGAGTTAGAGGGGATGAGAAAGAGAGAAGGCAACCCAACTTAGAATTTTTTTCTGGCATCAGCTTTTCTCCCCATGTACCACTGAATCTGGATGAGTTTAGGAAGGATGGCAGTACGTCAAAATAACTAAAAGCACAGGTTTTAGGATCAGACATGGATTTCACTCTAGTGCGTGATCCTGGGCAAATCACTTAACTTCTCAGAACCTGTGTCCCTACAATGTAAGATAATGAACATATATACTCAGTGTATAAGAATTAAGTGAGATAACATACAGTGCATTGGATACCCAGGGTTTAACATAGTTGTCACCCCTTCAGTGAGTAATCATGGCTGTTACCAGAGCTCCTAACATGGGAAGAGGCAAGTGGGAAGCAGAACTTCCGGGTGGGGACCCTTGAGCCAGCCAGGCTAACGATGTGACCGTGGACAAGTCATTTCCCCCACCGCTGCTGTAAAACAGCACAGGGAGGCACCACAGCACATGGCAGGATGGCTGACGAGATGTTCGTAAGTGACTCAGGAAGAAAGCTGGTGCTGTCTGCCGGGAGAGGCCCCAGCCCCTGCTTGCTCTATGGTGTTTCAGCCCCAGGAAGACAAGAGCCATGCCTCTGAGCAGCGCCTTCAGGGCTGTGGGCGACGACCCTGGGATCATCACTTGGAGAATCGAGGTGAGCTGTGCTGAAGGCGCACCCTCCTCCTCGTCCTGAATCTGCGGGCGGACTCCTGCCACCCAGCTCTGCTCCAGGATAGCCCTCAGGCCCTAGTTAGTCTCTGGCCTGTGGTTCGGGAACAGTGGGAGGTGGCATCAAAGTGCACATTTCCCTACCGGTGGTGACCTTGGCTGGGTGCTCAGAGCAGGTGGGTGGCAGGTGGAGGAAATGCTCTTAGCCTTGGAGAGCAGGGCTCCGAGAAAAATAAGCTTGCCCTTTATTCAGCAATCTGCTCAGTGAGTCTGTGCTTCCAGTAAATGCCCTGGAGAGATGGGTGTGGCCAGGGCCCATCCTGGAGACTTACACTCCTGGCCGCTTCCCACAGAAAAGTAGAACCTGTCTTCCTCAGAGTGTTCTGGCTCCTGCAGAGTAGTAGGGTAGGTTCAAGGGCACAGCACAGACAGGGGCACGGCTCACCTCTTGTCCCACCGGAACTTGAGCCCCTGTGGCTTACCTTGAGCTCCAGCAATCTGTAACTGGGAACCACCCTGGCCTGGGCAGCCCCACCCCACCCCCATCTCCCTGCTCTGAGCTGAGTGGCTGCTGCATGAAACCCAGAGGTGATGCCTCACTCCACTGCCCTCCATTTGGGAGGAGGAATCACAGCCTCTAGCAAGTGGCTCAGAGCTTGTGAGAAGCCTAGGACACTTTCATTTTATTAAAAACCAAGAGATACTAAAAAAGTGTGTAAAAGTTATGGGGTACTTTAACATTTTTAAAAAATTATTTTCAGAGAGGGGGGAGGGGAGGAGAAAGAGAGGGAGAGAAACATCTGTGTGTGGTTGCCTCCCACATGCCCCCCCAACTGGGGACTTGGCTGCAACCCAGGCATGTGCCCTGACTGGGAATTGAACTGGTGACCTTTTGGTTCCGGGGGCCAGTGCTCAGGGCAACATTTTTATATTCACACACGTTTTACATAGAAATCACACAAGCATGACTGTGAGCTTACCTCACTTGGAGGAGGTAGTGAGGAAAATCTGCATCAGAGGCTATGGGAATCGTCCTCCTGACACCAGACGGACATGCAGGTGACAAATCAGGGCCCCAACCCAGACTCCGAATATGGGACACCAGGCGTGGAGCCCCACGCACTGCTGGCAGGGACGCCTGAAGCCCCACAGAATCTTGGTGGTCCGTTCTCGCAGACCTGGGCCAGCACTGGTGGTCGGAGCCGAACAGTGACGGAGGCAATGGTGCAGCTGCTCGGAGGAGGTGTTTTCCGTGATAGCTCATAGCCAGCTCTTTTCCCTGCAATGCGCGGGGGGTGGCTCACGCTGCTCCTCACAGTGCAGCAAGAGAGGACAAGCCAGGCAGCAGGGAGGAGGACAGGGTGAGGACAGGCACCCAGATGCAGACAGGGCCATCAAGCTGAGCTCGGGTTCCAGAAGGTGGTCACAAGAACCCTGCAGCTCGCCGACAGGCCCTGTAAGATCAGCGGGGACATCTCCCTGCTCTCCCCTGCTGCCTCTGCCAAGCGGTGGAGAGGAAAGGAAGGCTTGTCGAAGTGCGGGAAGGAGAGGATGGAGCCTGTGCACATTCCTTGTCCTTCCAGAAAATGGAGCTGGCGCTGGTGCCCCTGAGTGCCCATGGCAACTTCTACGAGGGGGACTGCTACGTCATCCTCTCGGTGAGCACTGCCCCCACCCCGGCCTCATTCCCACAAGCTTCCCCACTGAGCCACGTTCCACTGAGAGGTCTGCCACGCATGCTAACCAGGTCCCTGGCATCCATCTCGACTCTTCTTCAGTGTGTACAAGAAGGGCCCCCAGTTTGACCATTTAAAAAAAATTTTATTATTTAGTTTTAGAGAGAGGAGAAGGGAGAGAAAAAGAGAGGGAGAGAAACATTGATGTGTGAGAGAAACATCCATCAGTTGCCTCTTGCACGCGCCACAACTGGGGGACCAGGCCTGCAACCCAGGCACATGCCCTGACCAGGAATCGAGCCTGCAACCTTTCGCTTGGAGGGACCTTGCTCAACTGAGCCACACTGGTCAGGGCCAGTTTAACCATTTAAAATTTTTATTTATGTATTTATCTTTAGAGGGGAAGGGAAGGAGAGAGGAGGAGAAACATCAATATATGGTTGCTTCTGGTGTGTCCCCTGCTGGGAACTGGCCCCTGCTAGGAACTGGCCTGCAACCCAGGCATGTGCCCTGACTTGCCTGGGCAAATCGAACCGCGATCTTTAGTTTGACCATTTTTAAAAGCCATTCTTAGGTGGGGGGCTGTTTAAATTTTGCATCAGGGGGGAGGGGCGGGGCCCTCAGTCTGAACCTGGATAAGTAGCTCATAAGCAGCACATTTCCCTGGGTGGGGGCAGACCCCAGTTTAAAGCGGGGGCAGGAAGGTCAGACACAGAAGCGCCACTTCCGGCCTCGCGGCGCTCATCTGGTTGAGGGAACAGCAGCCCGTGAACGGTGCCCACGGAGACGCGCGGGTGGGCGGGTCAGCACTGTGCCGGCTGGGGAAGCGCGGGGGCAGCGGGGCAAGTCTGCGGCCCAAGTTGAGAAAGGTCCCCCTGGCTCTCCATTTATTTTGAGAACAATAGGCTGTCAACTTTTCCCAAATGCGGGGAGGTATCAGGGCTGCCAGAGCCACAGGGCAGGTCTGCACAGGGGCCACTACAAGGAGGGAGAAGGGCCAGGAGGAGCACGCCAACCACAGGACACGGGGCACTGTGTGCGGCACCCCAGAGGGGCCGGCATCACAGGGGAAGCTGGTCCCCGACCTGACTGATGTCTCTGACCACATCCCAGACCCGGAGAGTGGGCGGTCTCCTGTCCCAGGACATCCACTTCTGGATCGGAAAGGACTCCTCTCAGGATGAGCAGAGCTGCGCGGCCATCTACACCACACAGCTGGACGACTACCTGGGGGGCAGTCCCGTGCAGCACCGAGAGGTCCAGTACCACGAGTCCGACACCTTCCGCGGCTACTTCAAGCAGGGTATCATGTGAGTAGTTATATACAGAGCAAGGACAAAAGCAAGTTTACCGAAAAGGAAACCCAAAGGGCCAATAAAGTATACAATGAAAGTAATCAGAGAAATGCAAATCAAAACAAAGCTATCATTTCCACCTACTAGAGCAGCACAAATTGGAGAGCTGGGTGGGCCCAGTGTTGGCAAGGTTGTGGGGAAATAGGAGCCCTTGCGCCTGGCTGGGGGCCGGGAGGGCTGGCACAGCATTCCAAAGAGTAATCCGCCCGCGAGGCAAATCCCGCTTGCGGGGGAGGGGAGATAACTCAGGAATTTTCACAGACCACTCCATAAGGGCGAAAGAACCAGAATGTTCCCAGCAGTATTGCTAGTGCTGGTGGAAGCGGCAGGCAGTGTAGAAACCCGTCGCTGGGAGACTAGACGGGAAACACTCCAGGTCAGCAAAGGAGGCCTGTGCAGGAGCCGGAAGCAGCAGACTAGATACAGACCTAACATGTAGCCAGAGCTTGAAATCATGGTGCTTTGTGAACATAGTAAGAAACAGCCTTGAGATATGTAACAGAATGCAAATTTCTGTTTTAAAAAAATACATGCACACAAAACCACTGGTCACATTTCACCAGCATGAAAATAAGATGTTAAACTGTTAGAATTGTTGCCTATGGCAGAACAGAACTGGGAGTAAGGTATGCAGATAAAAGAGAATACACAAATACTTAAAACAAGAGAGGGGTCTGGTGAAGGTCAATAATAAATAATACTGTTCCATGAACTGATTACTCAAACCTTGCACTCAAGATTGAAAAAAGAGCAATTCCAAAGAGTTTGAGAACTCTGAAGCTGCTTCTTGCAGACCTGCCGGCACAGGGCACCACACTGAGTCACCAGGGAACCCAATGACACCCCCACCCTCTGCTCCAGGGTGGCTTCCTGCTTGCCCCTCACGCTCGTGGGACACCTGGAATGGAGGCTGGGTTGGGACGAGAGCCAGGGGCGGGAGCAGATTCCAGGAGCGGGTTGGTGTTAAGGCCGGGGCGTCGTGTGGTTAACGCATCTGCTCCTCCGGGCATGTGCCTCTCTCCCGGTTGCACACGGTCCCCGAGTTTCTAAAACCAGCTCCTTCGTGCACCACTGGGGTCCCCTCTGTGTCCAGCACCAGTTCCTTGTTCTTGGTTCCTCTCCTCTTCCTACCCCTGCTGGAATGTTACCCCTGCTGAGAAGACTGCCCTGACCACCCTCTCAAAAAGTCCGCCGCTGTGTCCACTTCTGTGGCCACAATTACTACCAACTCCATTGACCTTGCTTGTTGACTGTCGACACCCACAAGGGCAGAGACTGCCTCTGAGGAACCCACCACTGTCTCCCCACACCTGGCACGTGCAGGTGCTCAGTCAGTAACCAATGGATGTTCCCTTAGCTACAAGAAGGGGGGTGTGGCCTCTGGGATGAAGCACGTGGAGACCAACACCTACGACGTGAAGCGGCTGTTACACGTGAAGGGGAAGAGAAACATAAGGGCCACTGAGGTAAGTCCTGCCCACTCTCTGTTCTGGGCCCAGTCTCCACCTGGTACCTAAGAATTCCTCCTGAATAATGTCTACCTCCAGGTGGAAATGAGCTGGGACAGCTTTAACCGAGGTGATGTCTTCTTGCTGGACCTCGGGAAGGTTATCATCCAGTGGAACGGTCCGGAGAGCAACAGTGGGGAGCGCCTAAAGGTACAGCTCTTCCGTCTCCCTGCTCTCTCCTCTCCCTCAGGCCTGGCCACGGGGTACTTTTCCTCCCTCCTTCCTCACTGGCTTTTCCCTGAGATTCAAGACGGACCTCCGCCTTGGAGTAGAAACTGGCTAAGTGTGTGGGTCTGTGATGCCCCCCTGGGGGCATCAGGGTAACTCTGGTCTGGGGTGTAGGCTGCTCCTTCCAAAGGCTTCAGGCAGAAGGGGGCAGGGACAGAGGAGCTGAGTGTTTGCATGGGTTTCGTTGACAGGCTATGCTTCTGGCAAAGGATATTCGGGACAGGGAGCGAGGGGGCCGTGCTGAAATCGGCGTGATCGAGGGAGACAAGGAGGCAGCAAGCCCAGAGCTGATGAAGGTCCTACAGGACACCCTCGGCCGACGTTCTATTATCAAGTCTGCGGTCCCGGATGAGATCATAGATCAGCAGCAGAAATCAAATATCGTGTTATATCAGTGAGTAAACCTAGCTGCTGGTTGGAAGCTGGGGCCGGGGAAGGTGTCCCCTAGAACACCAGGCACTTCTGCTTCGCTCCTCACTTTGGGTGCAGGAGTCTGGCTTTCTTTTAGTCATTTTCAAATGCAGCTTCTAGAAAGAGCTTGGTGTTCTGATTCAAGGAGGAAGCTACCATCTGTTCTTGTCAGCAGCTCTTCCTGGTCTCGTGGGGAAACTGTTCCTTTACTTGGATCTGTACATACACAGGGATGTGGACGGGGTAATGTTTGGAGAGAGGCACAGAAGTCTTCTCTGGCGAACAGAGTCCCTCACGTTCCCGTCTGCATTCAAGCCACTCCTGTCACAGGAAGCCCAGCTCCACACGGAAACCCCACACTAAAACAAAGCCAGGAAAATACCAAATGACTATGAAATACTTTGCAGAAGAGAAGGCACCAGCTAACCTCTCCCTTTTCCAGTGTCTCAGACTCAGCTGGGCAGCTGGTGGTCAGTGAGGTAGCCACGAGGCCCCTGGTCCAGGATCTACTGAACCACGATGTAAGTAGAGCTCGCGTGTGCTAAGCGTGGGCCGACCAGGCCTGGCTTCAGGGGCAGGCCCCGGGCAAAGTATAAGCACTTGACCCCTGCCTGTTTCAGGACTGCTACATCCTGGACCAGAGCGGGACCAAGATCTACGTGTGGAAAGGGAGAGGGGCCACGAAAGTTGAGAAACAGACGGCCATGTCTACAGCCCTGGTAGGAGCTACAGATGTGCAATATTGTCCAAAAGTTATGTCGCAGATACTTCAGATGTGCTCAGAGAGCCATACTAGGCATCTGAGTGTATAACACTGCAGGTCTATACATGGACTTTGGTGTCAGACAAGCTGGGATTCAGATCCAGGTTTAATACCGTCTCCTGGGGTTACTGCCAGGATTACGTAACATTTGTAAAGCAGTCAGAAAGTTCCTGGTGGATGTTTCTATTATTATTTTTCAAAGACTTTATTTATTTTTAGAGAGGGGGGGAAAGGAGGGAGAAAGAGAGGGAAACATCCATGTGTGAGAGAAACATCAATCAGTTGCGTGCCCCCCAACTGGGGACCAGGCCCGCAACCCAGACACGTGCCCTGACCGGGAATCCAACCAAACCGGTGACCTTTCGGATTCCAGGATGATGCCCAACCCACCGAGCCGCACCAGTCAGGGCAGTGGATGTTATTAGTGAAAGGGGCAGACACCACTTAGCAAGGTTAATGGCCTGTGCTCAGGGGGTTTAGGATACGGTGCAGACCCACACAGCTGAGCCCAGCAGGAGGCACTTGACAGAGCAGTGAATGGACAAATGCATGTGATGAGAAGTCAGCAGAATACATGAGTGCTGAAAGAACAGAGTATAGAGGATTGTGAAAAAAAATTAGTAATAACCATGAAAGGCCAATGGAGAGATGAGAAAATATTCAGCTCAGTCCTTCCTTGAGTCAGGTAAGTTTGTCCCTAGACAGAAGTGAGTCAGAACTTGACTCAGTCCCAGAAGAGAACAAGGGAGCAATCCTACCAACTGGCTTCAAAGGGGTGACTCGCCAGCCAGGCAGAGAACTCGGTGCATTCCCCACACTGACCTGCCTTTTGGGGGCTGGGGACTGTCTACAGAACTTCATCAAGATGAAGGGCTACCCCAGCAGCACCAACGTGGAGACCGTCAACGATGGCGCCGAGTCGGCCATGTTCAAGCAGCTGTTTCAGAAGTGGACAGTGAAGGAGCAGACCGCAGGCCTGGGGAAAATATTCAGCATCGGCAAAATCGGTGAGATTGCCCTAGATTGTCTTCTCACTGCTGGGGCTCCAGAAAGACAGGCACGGATGCTTGCCACTCATTCGACTTCTCCCAACCTCTTCTCGAGCAGCTAAGGTTTTCCAGGATAAATTTGATGTGACTCTGCTGCACACCAAACCAGAGGTAGCTGCCCAGGAAAGAATGGTGGATGATGGCGATGGAAAAATTGAGGTAAGCCTCATGATTCCCCTCTCAGGGCCGGCAGGCAGCACTGGCCCTCCTGGCCGTCATGCGGTAGAGGGGTGGCCCGGGGATTCTGGGTCTGCTCTGCTTTCACCTTCATCTCCAGTGCCCAGGAATGTTCTCCAAGAGGTGTCCTGGTCCGCAGTTTTCCCATGATTCTTCAGGGAAGTGAAAGGCGGAAACCCCAGTGAGCTGTCAGTACCTCACCTGGCAGGTCTATTCAAATCACCTCCCAGCTGTGATGGGGAGGCGCCGACCAGGGACAATGCAGTTCTCCTACAGATTCAAATTATGCAAATGTGATAAGCCCTCACCACTGGGAAAGCAGCACCAGAGGGGGCAGGGGACTTTGAGAGGACAGACCTTAGTGCCTGGCTTTGGGAGTCTCTGCTAAGCGTGACCCCGACCCCATTCCCTCAGGCAGCTGTCTCTTCAAACAGGACCCCCATCACTGGGGGACTGTGTCTCCTTCTATGCCCAGATCTGGAGAATTGAAAACCTGGAGCTGGTCCCCGTGGAGCAGGAGTGGTATGGCTTCTTTTATGGGGGAGACTGCTACCTGGCTCTGTACACATACGAGGTTTACGGGAAGCCGAGTTACATCCTGTACATCTGGCAGGTAGGCCTGGGGCAGGCCCTCAGCTTTCAGAGAGGGGGCTTCCTCTGGCTACTGAGCTGGGCCAGGGGTAGCAGGGCCCATTCCTCCTGTCACCACTGCAGGGCCGCCACGCCTCACAGGACGAGCTGGCAGCCTCGGCATACCAGGCGGTGGAGGTGGATCAGAAGCTGGACGGGGCCCCTGTGCAGGTTCGGGTGACCATGGGGAAGGAACCACGCCACTTCATGGCCATCTTCAAAGGAAAGCTGGTTATTTTTGAGGTGAGAACCCTCAGGTAAAGTGACACCATGGGCCAGAATGCTCAGAACTAAGCTAGCCAGCGGGGGCTACAATGGAGGGGGGCGGGAGAGCAGGCCTTGGGGTAGACCTGGACGAGGGGTTAATCTAAGACACTAAAGTGAATCCCAACTGCCCAGGACTTCAAGCCCAAACCACTGCCTAATTAATGTTCAAGGTCTTTCACAATCTGGGCCATACTGCCCTCGGCTCCCTAAGCCACACACCCCACTCGTCAGCTGGGTCTCCTCAGTAGCCCTCACATGCGCTGCATCACTTTGCCTGCCCACCTCCCGCACTGAATGTGACCCTCCAGATGCAAGTCCTACTTCTTCCTTGAAGCCCTAGCTGAAGCGCTACAAAAAATGCGCGATGTCACGTGCTTGATACACACAAGTCTGTGGTCAAGTCTTAGTCTTGCCATTTATTAGCCAGGTTTCTAAGCCTCAGTTTCTCCACCTTTGCTATGGGATAATACCTTCACAGTTATTTGGAGGACCAGTGAAATGATGTACACGGGCACCAGCCACAAAGTCTGGCATGTAGCAGAGGTCTCAGAAGAAAGCTATTACCAGCACCGTAACTCCAGCTCACCAGACTGCTGCCCGTTAGCCTACAACAAGGGTGGCAAACGCAGGGCCTGCAGGCTGAACCCGGCCCTCCACCTTGTTTTTTCCAGCCTGGCACCTTGCTTCTACCTGGTGGCAGTGCCGAGCTCCTCTCCCCTAGTTAACAGTAGTTACATTCACACAGTCCCAAAATTACTTTCAGCCCTTTGAAGGCATCTGTGAGAAGCCGACGTGGCCCCCAGTAAAAATGAGTTTGACACCCCTGGCCTGCAAGCTCTTCAAGGGATGCATTTGACATTGTCTCCCCAACAGCTAAGCCCAGTGCCCTGCTCACCTGGTGTGTCTTAAATCTCGTCTGCCCTCCTCTCATTCTCTCTAGGGTGGGACTTCCCGAAAGGGAAATGCTGAGCCCGAACCCCCGGTAAGGCTCTTCCAGATTCAAGGAAATGACAAATCTAACACCAAGGCAGTGGAGGTTTCTGCCTTGGCCTCCTCCCTAAACTCCAATGACGTCTTCCTACTGCGGACCCAGGCAGAGCACTACCTGTGGTGTGGCAAGGTAGGGCAGCAGCCCTGCACCCACTGTCCGGGCAGCTTACAGAGTAGGCTGGGTCCTCAAAAGGACGGCGACGTTCCCTACAATTAGGCCTCCAATTAAAGTCAACAACAGCACTGCTCACTCATACTCCACAGATACATCCTAAACTTTAAATGGACAGAGGCTGAGTAAGGCAATCTTCCCACACCAGTTTGGTGGGTTATAACAGGACAAGCAGTACCACTGAACAAAAACACTAGAAATACAGTTTTGTCAATTCAGACTGCATCTACATTAAAAAGCACTTAATTGTTGTACAAGAGAATTAAACAGGAAAAGATGCTCCACGTCATTAGTCATTGGGGAAATGTAAGTGACACCCAGTGAGATACACAGCAGAACAGCTGAAAAAACTGACAGTATCAAGTGCACGTGAGGAAGCAGTGCAACAGGAGCGCTCGCGCTGCTGGTAGGACTGCCGATATGGCCTTTGAAAAACAATGTTTTTTATAAAACATACACTTACCAACAGTCCCATGCCTGGGCATCTTCCCATGTGAAATAAAAAACTGTCTTCGCACAAAAACCTGAACACGCATGTTTATAGCACACAGCACCTTTATTTGCAATTACCAAACACTGGAAGCAACTCAGCTGGAGACTGGATAAATAAAGTGTGGCTTCTACACAGTGGAACACTACTCGGCAACACCAAGAACAATCTGTTCATACCCACAACTGCAAGGGGGGGTGCTAAGTGGAAGAAGCCAGATCCCCAGGCTACATGGTTTATGACTCCATTATGACTTCCTGAAAAAGGCAAAACTGTTGTGATGGAGAACAAGGTAGTGGTTGCCAGAGGTTAAGGATTTGGAAGTGTGCAGCCTGGGCAAATTTTTTTGCAGGGGTGAGGTGACTGTTCCGATTCTTTGTGGTGGTGGTATAACCTGATTCTATGTCAAGATTTATAGAACTGTATGCCAAAAAGTGTGAATTTTCTTGTGTGTAATTTAAAAAATAAGTTTAAATTTTTTCTCTTAAAAAATTAAAAGTAGGTGCTAAAATTTCAACTGCAACCAAAACAAAGGGGACCCTTGTCAATGTCCATCATGAGCTGGAGTCCAGTGCTGTTCTTTGCTGCCACACTGTCCCCTGCCCCCACCCCAAACCCTTCCCAGGACTAGAACAAACCTATTCCCTAACTGAAGGTACTGTGGCTTGGTGGCTGATCTTGGCTACACTAAGCAATCAGCCTCAGCAGCTTTTTTCCCCACATCAACGTGGTCACGTGTGGCTAACATCTGTGTTCTCCTCACCCTGCTCTCAGGGGTCTAGTGGGGATGAGCGGGCCATGGCTAAGGAACTGGCCAGGCT